TCAGGAGGCGGGGGGCCCCGCCCCTGATCTGGGTGGGGGGCCTATCAGGGACCAGACCAGCCAGGGGGAGGGGCCGCGGGAGGTTGGGGGTTGCCTATAGGGACCCCATCCAGCTGGTTGGTTGGCCACCGCAGTGTGCATCATATTGTCCGGCCGTTCCGCCGTTTGGGTCACTTGGCTTTTATATATATAGATTATTATCATTATTATTATTATTATTATTATTACTAATCCTCACCCAAGAATATTTTTCCCATTGATCGAGAGAAACATATCAATTGGTTCCCTCCTGCACGAGTTCCAACCAGAGCCCAGGAAGGGGAGGAGCCTATAACCGAGGTACATGCCCTTGATCGGAATAGAATCTGGGACCCTTTGGTCTGCAGGCCAATGCTCTATTCGCTGAGCCAAACCAGCTAGGGCTACAAACTCATTTCAATAAAACACCCGTCTATATGTGGTGGGAAATGAACAAATACTTCTCGCCCCTCTTGGTTTTAGTAGTTAGTTTCCTTTCATTGTTGGAGCAGACTCAATGTGTATTTGAAGGAGTGACCCACTAGATAGGCATCTGGAACTTAGTTGAACTTCTGAGAAAGAGGAAATCAGACTGGAAGTCTTGCTGGCCTCTTTTCCGGTCTCAGAACATCCCTGGCTCCCGTCAGATCAGACGTTGGAGCCCCGGAGGTTTTGTTTGTCCACTGTTCTCTGAGCAGACTGGGCAGCAGCCAGCGTGCCAGACTTGACCATGAAAGCTGCGCTGGAGCCATGTGCTTGGTGTGGATGTGCTCAGATAGCATTCTGGCGTGAGGCTACGCTGTTGGTCCCCATGGGCGGGCAGGCCAGGACCTGCGGGAGCGCAGATGAGTTTCTGTGCCTGAGAACTGAGTCGGGAAGTTCTGAGCCTGGACACCCACGTAATTAAATCCGGCCTTCAAGACCCATGCAAATCGGAGAAGGCGTCCATTGCTCTTCCTGGTCACTTCTCCCTTCTCCCAAAACACCCAACAGAGGTTCCTTCCTTCTCTGTTGGGAAGTAAGTGAGGACGTTCTCCTCCCTCTGACCTCCCTCACACATGTCTTTCATTTCGTCAGATACCTCTAACCTATTCGGAAACAGTGGGGCCAAGACGTTCGGTGGCTTTGCCAGCTCGTCGTTTGGAGAGCAGAAACCTGCTGGCACCTTCAGCGCTGGAGGAGGAAGCGTGGCATCTCAAGGCTTCGGGTTCTCCTCTCCAAATAAGACAGGTACTGCGGTCCTGCCGCTGAGGTCGCGTCGTATGAGCTCAGATGCAGAGATGCTGGAAGGAGGGAGCTCTCTGCAGAGGCTCTCGAGGGAGTAGGATTGGCGCGTGGATGAAGTGACTCCCACTTTATTTGTATTTTTATTGAGCATCTACTATGTTCCTCACACTGTTCTAGGTCTCCTGAGAAATGTTAAACAGCACAGAATGCATATTCTGTAACCCTTAAGAGAACTTAGAGTCTTCTTGGGGAAGAAAACTTAAACATTTAGCAAGTGCAGGTTGACCAAAGTAAGGGAACACAGAAGAAAGTGATCACTAAAATGTAAACATGAAAGTGTCCTGAGTCGCTCATTTGCTTGGTACCCATTGCCTGTCGCAGGCCGAACAGACTATTTAACTTCTGTCCGTATCATTTTGCCTTCTTTCCCAGTCACTTGTTTTTTGTTTTTAATTGAGCATAATAAACAAATACATTAGATATACAGTACATGTACATATACAATATTAAATATTCACATATCATGAGTTAATTTTCACAGTTGGAAAATACCCATGTAATCAAGAATAAAGAACATTGCCAGCACTACTTCTTATCCCAGCATTACTTTTACAGTATACATTTGTGAATGGTGACTTTTTATAATCATGCATTGCATTTACAATTAAAATTTTTAAAGAACATTGTATATTTAGACACAAAAACATATTTCGTTTCTGTCGGCTGCCTCCTCTGTCCCATTTCTGTTTCTGGGATCTGCATGGGTCTGCCTTCCTGCCCCTGTTGCATGGACGTTGTGTGAAAGGATTTGTTTTAAGGCACAAGGCAAAGGAAGAATGTTTGCTGAGAAAGCGGTTCCTTTAGGCAGGCTCCCAGGGGTGAGCGGCAGGACACTCCCTCGCGCAGATGTGTGGGAGATTGAAATTCCGCCAGTGCCAGGAGAAGGTCCCACCTGCGGACCAGATGTGTAGGTGGCTCAGGATCCCACCTGGGGACCAGATGTGAAGGTGGCTCAGGATCCCACCTGGGGACCAGATGTGAAGGTGGCTCAGGATCCCACCTGGGGACCAGATGTGAAGGTGGCTCAGGATCCCACCTGGGGACCAGATGTGAAGGTGGCTCAGGATCCCACCAGGGGACCAGATGTGAAGGTGGCTCAGGATCGCACCTGGGGACCAGATGTGAAGGTGGCTCAGGATCCCACCTGGGGACCAGATGTGTAGGTGGCTCAGGACACCACCTGGGGACCAGATGCGTAGGTGGCTCAGGATCCCACCTGGGGACCAGATGCATAGGTGGCTCAGGATCCCACCTGGGGACCAGATGTGGGTGACTCAGAGGATCCCACCTGGGGACCAGATGTGAAGGTGGCTCAGGATCTGGGGACCACATGTGTAGGTGGCTCAGGATCCCATCTGGGGACCACATGTGTAGGTGGCTCAGGATCCCATCTGGGGACCACATGTGTAGGTGGCTCAGCCTCCCACCTGGGGACCAGATGCGTAGGTGGCTCTGACTCAGGACCGCCCCCGTTAGCATCTGGAATCCACCGCTTGGAGCACAGTCGCTGTGTTTTCCATAATGCTCTGTGCACCTTTCCTCAGGCCTGTGGCCCGGCAGGTTTGCCTAGTGCCCGTTTTGGATGCTCTTTTCCTAGAATTTAAGATGGACAAAAAATGGGCATTGCAGCTCTATTTTGCCCAACCTTCCTGGCAGTGAATGATTTAAAAATGAAAGGTCTACAAATTCATTCTTCATTACCAGGCAAATACTATTTGACTAAGAGATTTTAGTTCATTAATTATCAAGACTTTTTTTAGGGAACCTGATAATGTTTTCTTTGGTATGTTTTTCTTAAATATTGTCTCTTATCCTGGGATCAGGTTGTTGATTGGAGAATCTGATGCTTGTAATTTTTCAATCTTAAAGAAAATGTACCTCCCTTTCAGAATATCTTTTTCTACTTGATTTTTTGCCCCATGAAACCACCTAGTTCGAGGACTGGAACAGAGAAAGCCACCAGGCAAATACATGAGCTGAGTGAGCGCGTGACCAGGAAGGGAAAGTGCGGGTGGGAAAGCCTGCTCTCCTGCTTCAAGACTTCGGGAGCTGCATCCGTTTCAGGGAGCTGCTTCCGTAGGAGAGGTGCCTCCTTTCATCAGCGAGGCTGCTTTCTGCCAAGGGGCCAGCCTTCCTTGACTGCTGGTTTGAAGGCATCTCTGAAAAATTCCAAAAGTGCCCATCCTCCCGCCCAACGATTGCATTCGGAACTGTGCTGCTGGAGATACTGGGGGGGTGGGGGGACAGGAGGAGGGACAGGCTGAAAATGACCGGCTGCCATCCCAGTCCATGGGGCTCACCCCGCTGCTCCTGTGCCAGAGTTGCTGGGTTAGTGGCAGGGGGGGAAGGGGAGCGCACATACTGGTTAGGTGCTGGGTGGTCTTTGAGTCACTCAGCCTTGTTCTAGTCCCAGCTGCACCATTTACCTGCTGGCTAGACTCAGACACGGGACATATCTTCACAGCCTCAGTTTGCTCACCTGTGAAGTAGGGATTCCAGGTTTTTGGGATGGATTAAAGCAGACTGTTCTACAGTAGCTGGCATGTGAAGGGCCGTCAGTAAAACAGATATTTCAGTGTCATTGATTATTAGTACATTTCTGTTTCTTCAGGGGAAGAAAATCGTGAAAATAAGGCATCTAATAAAATCAAACCCCGCGAGTCGATCTTCAGAAATAAGACCAGGATGACTGTTCTCTTCCTGGCGCACTTAGCCGTGACCTGGGCGTGGGGAAGTGTGTGCGCTTGTGCGGTGTGTGTTCATCTCCTCTCCCCCTGCAGTTTACTTTCTGTATCATTGTGACTTCTCATTTTTCACTCCCCTTCCACCAAGAAGCCAGCATAATATGGAGTGCAAGGCACTAGACCCAGCCCCCAGCGTGTGTCTAGGAAGAGAGTGTAACTGGATCTGTGGTCAGTCCTAAATAATTCAGCGGCAGGGTTTTTAGTGCTTTTTCTTTTCCAGTCTATTATATTTGTAACCCAACAGTGCCCATTAGCATAGCTTGGAATTTCACTCAAGGTTTTAAAAGTCAGGATGTTAACCCAAATGTGAGCCTTAGCAAAAAGTTCTTCTCAGTGGAGCAGCCACTACAAATGGTCCACCGGCAAATAACGGCGGAAAGAACAGCAAGCTAGACCTGCAGCTGCCCGGCCCTCCCGCTCCAGGGGCAGAGGCTTGTGGTGGGATTGAGGCCGGCTGACCCTCTCAGCAGATGCGCGGTGGGCTTCACTTTCTGAAAGAGGCGGGAAGAAGCCAGGTCCCCTCCAGCTGCTTGCGCCTCGGCCGCCATCATTCCCTTCAGCGTGTGGCTACAGGTCAATACTCATTTTAAGAAATATTCCCCCTTAAGGCACGTTTCTTGTACATTTTGTTCATTTCATTCAGCAGACTCTCACTGAGGGTCTCTGGATAGCCAAGAAGGATTTCAACAGTGTCTCGGGGGTTGGGGACCCTGCCCGGGCAGAAAGGACAGTCAGGGAAGGACAGTCCTCTTCCCGTCTGCTGGCATCTCGGCCAGCCCAGCGGCCACCGGGCATGCCTGACCCTTTTCTGTGGGTGGCCGCCCGCCAGCCTGTGTTCCGTGAGCACAGACCGGGCCTGTGAAGGGGGCCCTGCGCAGACGCTTAGCCGCTCACTCTGCTGGGCCGGTGGCCGTGTGAGCACAGCTGGACACTGTGTGACCACTGTCCTGCGGCAGCCCTCCTCCCAGGAAGCAATGCGGGTGCTGCTTTATGGGGGGCAGTTCCTGACCCCAGAGAGGAAGCATTTCAAAAATTCTTCTGGACACAGAGAGAGAGAGATGGTGGTGAGAGACGGGAGAGCCATTAGCCGTAAATAAATAAAAGGCCTGGCTGAGCGCCGGCGCCGAGCCGCTCACCTCGGCTGTCTCCCATTCGTTCTCCCCGAGAGAGACTCGGGCATCCGAGGCTGTGCCTCCTGCGGTGCTGAGTGATCCCTGTCTGTCATCTCTGGCCGCGGGGCAGGCATTGAAGTTTCTGAGGACGGTTTCACCATGAGGCGTCTCCACACAGTGCACCCAGCAGGAAGGGACCGGAAACGCGCCATGTTGGTTCCGGGTGTCCATCTGATTTGACAAGACTTGGAGCTGACAGGCCCAGCTTACCTCTGGGAGGGACCGGGGAGCTCAAGGCAAATAGGGGGTCTGCGGGGTTCTTAGAATTCCAGGGAGCTCTCCCGAGCAGACCCCAGACCTCTGCTCGAGCTGGAGGGAGGCGGCTTGGTGGCCGGTTTGCTTTGGGTTTAATTGGCATTTTGCTGCTAGAAGGGGTGTTGCCCTTTGCTGGAGGTCTTTGTTTGGATTCTAACGTATTTTCCCTTTTTTCTTCCTCTTTTGATTTGGTTTCTCACTGCTCATTGTCTTCTCTTCCTGTCTCCTCCTTTCTCCCTGTTCTGTTTGTTTGCCTCTGTTTTGCTCAGGTGGCTTCGGTGCTGCTCCAGTGTTTGGCAGCCCTCCTACTTTTGGGGGATCCCCTGGGTTTGGAGGGGTGCCAGCATTCGGTTCAGCCCCAGCCTTTACAAGCCCTCTGGGCTCGACGGGAGGCAAAGTGTTCGGAGAGGGTACTGCAGCCGCCAGCGCAGGAGGATTCGGGTAAGCGCCCAGGGAGGGGACCCAGGGACCCCACAAGCTCTGGCTGAGCCACCGTGTGGAGCAGGGCTAACGGGGGCCGGCTGAAGGTTCCAGTGTGACGTCCCCAAGGAGCCATGGCTGTGCCCTTGGTGCGGGCCCTGGTCTCTGGCCCCACAGACATCGGAGGAGTCCTCGCTGCTGTTTGAGAGAGGCCGTCTTAGCGGCGGGAGTGGGCAGTGAGGACAGGGCCGCGCTGCTCGTGCGTGTAGGTGACACCTCACCTCGGCGTGAGAAGCAGACAGGGTCAAGGTCCAGGGAGTAGGCGAATAAATGGGGCAGGGGATGTCGATAAATGGGAAATGCTGAAATGGTGGAATAAAATTGAAGAATTATTGAAGACAGAAAGAGCAAAATATGTAGTACTGCTTCATTTCCAAGCGACCTGCAGTGTCCAGACAGGCACAGGACTCACTGGACAAGCTGGATTGCGTCTCGTGGGCCTGTCATTGTTCCCCGAAGCAGAGGTGCTTGCCCTGGGCTCTGGCTGCTGGTTCATACCAAGCATGTGCCCTTGATTCGTGTGCCGTGCAGCCTGAGACCATGAGGCTGCCTGAGGCTCGGCCGCAGGGGCAGCTGGCGCTGACTGTCGGTTCCTCCCTGGCCCAGGTTTGGCAGCAACAGCAGCACCACGTCCTTTGGCACCCTCGCTGGTCAGAACGCGCCCACCTTCGGGTCGCTGTCCCAGCAGACTTCGGGCTTCGGGACCCAGAGCGGGGGCTTCTCCGGCTTCGGATCGGGCACAGGAGGTAGGCAGGCAGCAGATACCCCTCGCCAAAGAGATGAGCGGTTTACCCGGCTTTCGTTGTCTTGTCAAAGCTGGAAGTGCTTGAAGGGCAGGGTGTGGGGGCTTTTGGTTTTGAGAACATTGTTTTCTAGGTTTAAAATAGACTTACAACATTGTGTCATTTTTTACTAAATATTTCTCAAAATTTGAGAACGCAAGATAATAATCATCTCACTAGATACTGGTTCAGAAATCCAAGCCAGCAAACAAACAATAAGGTGTAGAGACCTTTTTCACGAAACGCCTTTCATTTCGTTAACGCCCTGCTGCTTCAGGGCTGGAGCGTCCATGCTCTGCTTCTGTCTGTGCCACACACTGCGGCTCAGAAGCCGGCGCCCTGACTCTTGTGCAGATAAGACACTAAACTCCAGGGGCACTTGCCCAGCAGTGAGCCGCAGAGCCAGGCCCAGCCCCCCGGGCCTGCTTCTCTGGCCTCACGGAGAGGAGGAAGCACGTGGGTGGGAATGGAGAGAGAGCGCACTTTGCTAACAGAATGGGTCTGTGTGTCACGGTGGGGCTGCGTGAGGGGGCCCGACCAGAGACCCTCTGCCCACCCCAGCGGGGAGGAGGGAGGAGCCCTGGGGACATGAGCCAGCCCACCTTCCTGCCCAGCCTGCAGGAGGCGTTCCGTGGGGGTGAAGGGAGGGGGTCTGGCCGAGGGTCCACCTTGGTCTTTCAAGTGTATGTGTGTTTTAACTTCCCCCTGTCCATCTTTTCCAGGATTCAGCTTTGGATCATCGAACTCGTAAGTATCTCCAGTTTTGAGTCATTAATAGGATGGAAGAGTATGTGGCCTGGGAAAATACCGGACCACTCGGTTTGCTCTGTGTGTACACTCTTCCTGTTTAAAAGCTTATCCTGGAAGCATGGGGCTCTGCAGCAGGTTCGGGCTTTTGTGGATTTGCCCATCTTGTCAGGGATGTGGCAGGAGGTGCCAGGTCGCGCCTTGTCCAGGGCCATGTGCAAGAGAGGGAGGGGCCTTCCGGTCAGCAGAGCCTGGAAGGCAGGACTGGGTTCCAGGCCCAGTAGCCTTACTTTGTGATCATCAGTCTGCTTCGGTGGAGAATTGGATGACAGTGAACATTCAGGGCCTGGACTTGGCGCACAGGCAGTCGCGTGCCGGAAGCTGACCTGCCTCCCCGCCCTTCTTTGCAGGTCTGTCCAGGGCTTTGGTGGCTGGAGAAGCTGAGTGGGTGTCGTGCTCCTCGTCACTGAGCAGCAGCCTTGAAAGCGGACATTCCCGGTGGCACACCAGACAGACAGAAACACCTCGGCAGATGCACTTGGTCTTATTTCATGTTGCTTATTCCCCCCTCTGCCCCTCTTATTAAACTGTTTGGTTTGTTTGCATACAAAATGTAAGTGGGGGGTTTTTGTCTTCATTTTTTAAAACATATTTTTATTGATTTCAGAGAGGAAAGGAGAGGGGAAGAGAGAGAGAAATACCAATGATGAGAGAATCATTGATCAGCTGCCTCCTGCACACCCCCCACTGGGGATCGAGCCCACAACCTGGCCATGTGCCGTGACCTCCTGGTTCATAAGTTGATGCTCAGCCACTGAGCCACACCCACTGGGCTGTAAGTGGGTTTTTCAGGTCGCAGTCAAGGACAGAGGTCTCCTTGTGGCTCTGAGAAGCTGGTGCACCTTCCCTTGGCCAGGAGGACGACTTCAAGGACAAGCACGGGTGTCAGCCAGTCTCCCCGTCTGCTCAGACCCAGGGCTCCGCACAGGAAAGAGACCGATGGCCGCTTGTCACCTTCCAAGGCAATAACTCGTATCCTCCTGTGTCCTTTTTGCTGTTGAGTATCGGGACCCTCGGTGCCAGCTTTTTGACTGGGTGGCGGGGAGAAACTCACGCAGGCGCCAGCGGAGTTTCGGAAGAGGTTGTAGCACCTTAGAGGTTAGGTAGCCGGGAGGCAGACCTGGAACAGACCAGTGCGCTGATGCCTGCGGGGCTGTGCTTGCGCAGGCCCAGCTCATCTATTGGCCCTTAGCGCCGTGTGTCCCACAGCTGATGTCTTCTGCTCCGGAGGAGAGGCAGGCGGGTGATTGAGAAGACAGCCTTTATCTCCGTAAGTGATGGTGACATTGGTCCACACATTGGCCCCCTGTTAACCACAGGGCGGTGACCCTGCGCAGGCCCGGGGTTGAGGAGTCATGCTACTTCCTGGTGTCACAGCAGAGTGTTGGCAAGGCCGGCCCAGAGGTCCGACCTTCAGTCTCCACAGTGCCTGTCGGGCGGGGTCTCAGGTCTGGGCTAGTTCCTTTCTTAGGCGGCGATATTGCAGTGGCTGACAAGGGCCCCCTCACAGCAAAGTAGGTGTGGGCTCCCGTTATCTGTCCGCCCAGAACATGCCGCGCTTCGTCTGTGCTTGTTAGCAGGGAGCATTGGAAAGGGCAGTTGTTCATCTCACACACTGGGAAACTAAAATGCTGAAGTGTTTTACTGACGGTTCACGTTGGGGAAGGTGAGACTCACCGAGGCCCATGAGCGCAGCCTGGCTGCTAGTCCCGCTCTGCTGTGGGGTCTGACTCCACGACGGCACTGGGCGCTGAGTGCAGGCTGTTCCTCCCGCAGAGGAGTGCTGCGCACCCAGGGCCCCGGCGGACGCAGCCTGCTCTGTGGGGGTCCCCACTGTTATCACCTCGGGCAGTGATGGTGAACCTTTTGAGCTCGGCGTGTCAGCATTTTGAAAAACCCTAACTTAACTCTGGTGCCGTGTCACATATAGAAGTTTTTTTATATTTGCAACTATAGTAAAACAAAGACATATTTTTGATTTATTTTATATATTTAAATGCCATTTAACAAAGAAAAATCAACCAAAAAAATGGGTTCGCGTGTCACCTCTGACACACGTGTCATAGGTTCGCCATCACTGACCTAGGGCATCTGCCTCATTCAAAGAGCGTGACCTCCGGAGTTTAGCGTGTGCCCTTTTGTCTGTGTGGCACTGAAGAGCCTGCCCCCACCTGTTCTCACGAGGCCCCGCAGCCATGGAGCAGGGGGCGGTGCCTGGGACGCGCACAGCCAGGCACGGGCTGTTCCTGCACGTGGAGCTCCCAGGTCTACACAGGAGCAGTCCTGAGACAAAGGGACTGGAATTTTGATGGGCAGCTCATGATGAGGCCGCGCTTGAAAGGGAGCACTGTGACTGGTGCCTTCTGCCTTGGTGTGTCGTCCTGTCGACCGACACTCAGGCCGAGCCAGTCTCCTGCCTGTCTGTCTCCCCCGGAGGCACTTTTTTATAAATAGAAGCTGGTTCGGCCTAAACCCTTGACCTCAAATTCTCTGCCTTAATCCTCCATCGAGGTGGCATGTGGCAGTGCTCCACAGCCCGTATCAGCTGTGCGCGGCCGATAACGCCCAGCACGCACCCTCAGCGGGGAATGCGGTGCTGGCGTGGGAGCCCTCTCCGCTCCTTTTTTGGGGTCGATTACACTGGTAGGTGGCAGGGGTCATCTCAGAGCGCAGCCAGCCTGCAGCCCCTGAAACCCAAGCTTCTGGGTGTGCGCCGGGAATGCGCCGCGGCTCCAGCCTGCCCCGGGAGGAGCCTTTCCCTGAGGGGGTGGGCAGGGCTGGGGTGAGTGGGGGCTGGGCCCCGTAAGGAGAAGGGACCACAGCTGCTCAGGGCCGCAGTCACAGTTGGCTTCACTGTGTCTCTTGAGTAACTCGGGAAAGGCAGGAAGGAAAGGGGGTGGCGGTTTAAGGAGCTGGTGGTTTTGCTTGGCTTTTCTAGATGTAAACGTTGTGTGTTCATAATCGGTGCCTCTGATGGCAGCAGGACAGAGGCCAGGAGTCGGGTTTCCCAGGCACAGGAAGAGCCCACATGACACATGGGCGTGGTCATGTCCCCTTCATGCCAGTGCACCTGCAGCGGTCCCCTTAGCCCGGCCCGCTCGGATTGGCCTGCTGCACGCCTTCAGTTCTGCTTTCTCCAGAGGCGTTTCAGGTCAGGCCTTCCGGGAAGGACGTGCAGGACCCTACCCCTCAGTAGCTCTGAGACAGAACCAGGCACTGGGCCTCCTCCTGTGAGAGCTTTTCCTTCGGGGTGAGATGGAGACTGGAGCACAGCCGGGCAGGGTAAGGGTGGGGGTGAGGGTGGGCAAAGTGAGCATCTGGCCCCATGTGGGTGAGTTCACACCTTACAGGACCTTGCCCTGCATCTGGGCAAACAGCCCTTGGGGGCATCTTCCCCCTGGTGGTGGCCCCTTGTCCAACACAGAGCCCGTGGTGAGGGGTCAGCCCTGGCCGCAGCGATGACGCAGGAGCGCTCACGTCTGGGGTTCTGATCCAGCGGCGCTGGGTGGGGCCCTCGAATCTGTGTGCGGGACCAGCTTTGCAGGTGATTCTGGTGCAGATGGTCCGGGGCCACACTGTGAGGCCTTGACCACAGTCACTGTGACTCCATCCCCCGATTCTGAGAGTCGGACGCCCATGGACATAATTATTTTGCCACTAACCCAGGGAAAGGACCTTCCTGAAACTTAAGTGGGACACAGAGTTTCACTTCAGCTGTCCTTGGGCACCTGCTCAAGAACATAGGTGAAAGCACAGGTGGCTGTCCCCTCCTGCCCTTCAGACAGCTCTGCAGGCCTCCTGGGAAGTGTCCCCACCCTGGCCAGCCTCCATCCTTCGGGACAGTACTGTGGGGGGAGGAGTGACCCTGTGTCCGCCAGCCTGGCTCCCAGTTCTCCTTCCCCCAACCCCCAGGTTCGTCAGCTCGTGGGCTCCCGTCCACAGTTCCCCATGGACACCTGACTGGTGCTGTCGGCATCTGCTGGTTCTTACACCCCTCGTTCCTGTTGCACGGAGAGCAGGGTCGCTGCTCTCCCTCCTTCCTCGCCCCGGTTGTTCCTTCGTCGCTCATGCGTGGACAGAGCAGTTGGCCTGAGGTGGTTTTAGCCCTAACCCCGGCTGGCTTCAGTGTTTCCTACGGGAGTTTATTCTGAGCCAGAACTAATGGGCTCCCTGCTCACACAAGTTGGGGAAAGAACGGACAGAACAAAAATTAATAGCTCTTTACTGAAGACTCCTTAGAGTCTTTAATATCCATGTGTGCTTCGTCCATCAATGAAGGGAAGTCGCTGCCATTTCCAAATCGTTCTGACCTGCACCTGTCCTGCTGGCACCAGTTCCTCGGGAACAGCTTGTCACTGGGGTCGCCGGGCAGAAGCACCACTTCCTCCCACAGGCTGTGTCTAGCACATCCCTCCCTGTGCCGTCACCCTGGGGCAGTGCGGGTGTGAGCTGCGCGGGCCCACTCACATGCGGAGTCCAGTGGCCCACGCAGGTCAGCCGTGTACGGGTCAGCCGTGTTTTTGAGCCTCGGGAAACTGCGGATCTGGGGGCTGACTTCAGTGGCAGCCGTGATCGCACCCCGAGCCCGTGTGTTCGATTGCAATGGTGGTGGTTCACTGGGTGATCCTTCGCGCCAGATACTGTCCATCCTAAGTTCTTCTCGCACATTTTCACATTCGACCTACACGCGAGATGCCATAACTCACATCTTCCGTGAGCGCGGGAGGCTGAGAATGAGTGGTTTGCTGAGTCTCGAGCCAGGTAGTGGTGGAGCCAGAGGGAGCCCGGGCTGTCCACACCCCTGCCCTCTGCTCGGCCGGCCACCCCGCCTTCCCCAAGGTCATCATTCATCTTAGAAGAGATACCGGGCCACTGGCACCAGGGACTCTGCTGAGCCCTCACACACAGCTGTCCTGTCCACCCGTGAAAGTGAGCTGACCGTGGACATGGACCACAGCAAATGTTCCGCCCATCGTGTAGATTTTGCCCCCATCCTGCTGGCTCCAGCCCTGTACGTGGTCATTGTCTGTCTAAACCGCAACCCCAGGAGGGAGGGGCAGAGGCTGAGTCTGTGTAGCAACATGGGGTGTGCACGCCCCACACACAGATGGGCCTGCCAGCTTTCCGGTGAGGGAATCGGGTCTGGAGGAAGCAGCTGGCTGCACGCCCTCGGCCGTCTAATCCCCTCCTTCCTCTGCGCTCTCTTCCCGGGTCTGGCTTGAGGTTTTCCAGTCCCACAGGAGGTCAGACCACCGTGCCATTGTTCAGCCCCTCTCTGCTTATAAATAGAACCCCATCCATTCCGCAGCCCTGGCCGGAGATTCTCCACATTGTTGTCAGCCCTGGACCGCCAGCTGCAAAGAAAGGGCCTCCATCAGGGAGGGGTGGCAGGCGGGCCGGCAGCACGCTGCAGTGGTGCCCGCTCCCCTCACATGTCCCTCCAGCACTGTCCGCCATCTCCTTGTGGCCAGAGCAGAAGCAAAGTGCTTCCCAACCCTCCGAGGCTGTGACAGCCGTGCCTAGGCTGGGCCGTCCTCCTGGGAATCCTCACCATGGCCTGCGGGTCACACGTGCGGTCCCCCTGCCTCTCCTGCCCCCTCTCGCCGTCCTCTCCAGTCCCTGGGCACTTGCTCTGCTCCTCCAGTGGCCTGTCTGGCCTCAGCCTCGGCCCAGTGCCCCGCACGCTCCCCTGCTCGTCCTGCAGTCAGTGTAGATCACTCCCTTGCCCACCGCCTCCCTGGGCTGCCTGCCCTGCTCCGCTCCAGCAGCTTCGGTCCGTTCTCCCGCCTCGTTATGTGTGTGACTGGTTGTTTGATTTGTTTGTCTGATCTGCCCCTCCCCCCAGACAGTCCGCTCCATGAGGGCAGGCACCACGTCAGCCTTGTCTCTCAGCCCTGGTGGCTCCAGGACAGCAAGAGGCAGGACCTGTGGGATAGATGCCCCCCTGAAATGACTACCAGACCCCCACCCTGGCCGGAGTTTCTCAGTGGTTAGTGTCGGCCTGGGCACAGGAGGGTCATGGGTTTGATTCCCAGTCAAGTGCACATATCTGGGATGCAGGTTCAATCCCCGCCCCTAATCTGGGTGCATGTGGGACGCAATTGATCAATGTCTCTCACATCCATGTCTCTCTCTCCCCCATGCCCCTTCCTTCACTCTCTCTAAAAATCAATGGGAAATATATCCTTACTCCTTGGTAGAAGATTTTTTTTTAATATATATTTTTATTGATTTCAGAGAGGAAGGGAAAGGGAGAGAAACATCAATGAT